TGGACGAGGACTCAGTCCATTTGGCCATAAAAAATCACTGGGGTTGACACTGGTAAAACTACTCCTTAAATGCCTCACATATATCGAAAGTCCATTTAGGGTCTCCAAATCATGGAAGGAACTTGATGGCATATAACACACATATAAGAAATAGAAACTGTTGACTTTTACAGTTAAAATCCCCTTCTACAGTTAAAATCCCCTTAACGGATTGCTGCCTTGTCGTGGTGAAGGGGCTATGGGCTATGCCGTGCAGGGACACCCAAGGCAGACAGGTCATAGTGGAGAGTTCTGAATAAATGAGATTCACCTGGAGAAGGAGCTGGCAAGCCACTCCAGTATCTTTGCCAAGAAAACTCCATGGACAGAAACAAAAGGCTAAAAGATATGATGCTGGAGGATGACCCCATCAGGGTGGAAGGCATCCAACATGCTACTGAGGAAGAGCGGAAGACAAGGACAAGTAGCTCCAGAGCTAATGAAGTGGTTGGGCCAAAGCCGAAAGGACGCTCAGCTGCAGACACTCCTGGAAGTGAAAGGAAAGTCCGATGCTGCAAAGAAAAATACTGCATAGGAACCTGGAATGTAAGATCTATGAGCCTTGGTAAGCTGGAGGTGGTCAAACAGGAGATGGCAAGAATAAACATCGACATCCTGGGAGTCAGTGAACTAAAATGGATGGGAATGGGTGAATTCAGTTCAGATGATTATTCTATGTACTGATGAGGGCAAGAATTCTGTAGAAGAAATGGAGTAGCTCTCATAGTCAACAAAAGAGTGGGAAAAGCTGTACTGGGATACAATCTCAAAATTGATAGAATGATTTCAATGCGAATCCAAGGCAAACCTTTCTACATCACAGTAATCCAAGTTTATGCACCAACCACCAATGCTGAAGAGTCTGAAATTGATCAATTCTGTGAAGACTTACAACACCTTCTAGAACTGACACCAAAGAAAGATGTTCATCTCATTCTAGGGGACTGGAATGCTAAAGTAGGGAGTCAAGAGATAAAAGGAACAACAGGTAAGTTTGGCCTTGGAGTTCAAAACAAATCAGGGCAAAGGCTAATAGAGTTTTGTCAAGAGAACAAGCTGGTCATCACAAACACTCTTTCCCAACAACACAAGAGGCGGCTCTACACATGGACATCACCAGATGGGCAATACCAAAATCAGATTGATTATATTCTCTGCAGCCAAAGATGAAGAAGCTCTATAAAATCAAAAACAAGACCTGGAGCTGATTGTGGCTCTGATCATCAGCTTCTTATAGCAAAAGTCAAGCTTAAACTAAAGAAAGTAGGAAAAACCACTGGGCTAGTCAGGTATAATCCAAACTAAATCCCTTATGAATACAGAGTGGAAGCGAAGAACAGATTTAAGGAAGGAGATTTGGTGGATAGAGTGCCTAAAGAACAATGGATGGAGGCTTGTAACACTGTACAGGAGGCAGCAACAAAAACCATCTCAAAGAAAAGGAAATGCAAGAAAGCAAAGTGGCTGTCCAATGAGGCCTTACAAATAGCAGAGAAGAGAAGGGAAACAAAACGCAAGCAAGATAGGGAAAGTTACAGAAAATTGAATGCTGACTTCCAAAGAATAGCAAGTAGAGACAGGAGGGTTTTCTTAAATGAACAATGCAAAGAGGAAAATAATAAAAAGAGAAAAACCAGAGATCTGTTCAAGAAAACTGACTATTAAAGGAACCTTTTGTGCTTTAGATGGACATGATAAAGGACAAAAATTGTAGGGACCTAACAGAAGCAGAAGTCATCAAGAAGAGTTGGCAGGAATACACAGTGGAATTATGTCAGAATGATCTGAATGTCCTGGTTAACCCAGACAATGTAGTTGCTGACCTTGAGCCAGACATCCTGGAGAGTGAAGTCAAGTGGGCCTTAGAAAGCCTGGCTAAGAACAAGGCCAGTGGAGGTGATGGCACTCCAGTTGAAGTATTTAAAATCTTAAACAAATACACTGTTAAGATGCTACACTCAATATGCCAGCAAGTTTGGAAAACTCAGCAGTGGCCAGAGAATTGGAAAAGATCAGTCTATATTCCAATCTCAAAGAAGTGCAGTGCCAAAAATGTGCCAACTACTGTACAATTGCACTCATTTCACACACTAGCAAGGTTATGCTCAAAATCCTAGAAGGTAGGCTTCAGCAGTACGTGGACCGAGAACTCCCATACATACAAACTGAATTTTGAAGGGGCAGAGGAACTAGAGACCAAATTGCTAATATGCACTGGATTATGGAGAAAGCCAGAGAGTTCAAGAAAAAGATCGACTTCTGCTTCATTGACTACGCAAAAGCCTTTGACTGTGTGGACCACAGGAAACTATGGCAAGTCTTTAAAGAAATGGGAGTGCCTGACCACCTTATGTGGGACAGGAAGCAACAGTTAGAACTGGATATGGAACAACTGATTGGTTCAAAATTGGGAAAGGAGTACGATAGGGCTGTATAGTGTCCCCCTGCTTAATTAACTTATATGCAGAATACATCATGCAAAAGGCTGGACTGGAGGAATCCCAAACCGGAATTAAGATTAAGGGAAGAAATAGCAACCTCAGATATGCAGATGATACCACTCTGATGGCAGAAAGTGAGGAGGAATTAAAGAACCTCTTAATGAGGGTGAAAGAGCAGAGCGCCAAAA